GTGTGGTATGGTATGATATGTTATGGTAGGGTAGGGTAGGTTATGGTAGGGTAGGGTATGGTAGGGTAGGGTGTGGTATGGTATGATATGTTATGGTAGGGTAGGGTAGGTTATGGTATGGTAGGGTATGGTAGGGTAGGGTGTGGTATGGTATGATATGTGATGGTAGGGTAGGGTATGATATGTGATGGTAGGGTAGGGTATGATATGTTATGGTAGGGTATGGTAGGGTATGGTATGGAATGGTAGGGTATGGTAGGGTATGGTATGGAATGGTAGGGTATGGTAGGGTATGGTAGGGTAGGGTATGGTAGGGTAGGGTATGGTAGGGTATGGTACGTACTTTATTTGCGCAGGGACAGTGTACCATTAAACATGAACACAAAGGAGATTGTAGCAGGATAGAGCAAAGATGCTAATGTGCTGGACAGTCCCTGAGCTGATGTCATAGATTCATCTAAACTCATTCTAAAGAAGAAAGATAAGATTTTAAAACAAGATAATATTAATTGTAACTTTGGCAAATCCTGTTCAAATCCAATTCACAGTCCATCCTGAGCACATGAGTGATACTGATAATGTTCACACACAGGACTAAGAGAGAACCTCCAGCGCCTTTCGAAGGTCTCACAAAAACTTAGACTTAGACAGACTTTATTGATCCACAGGAAAATTGTGTTTTCACAGTAGCTTGTATAGCATTCCACAATAAAAATAAACATTAGAGTAACAATCTGATAATAAAAATAAGGACAGAGCTGATCCAGGACACTCCACAGTCAACATTTATGGACATTAGTCTCTGCTTCTTATGGACCAATGGCTCTATGTGTATTTTTAATCACTGCATTTCTTGTGTTTGAGTTTGATTCTCTGATCTGTTGTTGGCAAATCGACAGCTTCTTTAAGTCCTCTGAGATAATTACTGCTGTGATTTAAAACGATACAGGAATATATTGAATTTAATTGAATTTAACTAAACCAGTTCAGCTAATACAGCCACGTTTGTCCCTATTCAAAAGAACAAGAAAAAAATTGCGGACGTTCCCTTTTGCCACCACTAGATGTCTCTGTTGCTCCACTGCCAGCAGCAGCAGCAGCAGCAGCAGCAGCAGCAGCAGGAGAGGGCTTTAATCTGGGGCAAGTAAAAGTGAAAAATGGCCTCAATAATAGACGTTTTATTTAACAATCGATGTCTTTATCCGCGGAAAGAGGACGAGGGCTGGAGATTCAATTTGAGCGACACAAAGGCTGATTTTCATTTAGTGTGACTTCAAACAGACTCTGACGCCATTTACATGTTTCATCCTCCAGGGGGCGCCATTGAGATTCTGAAACCAGCACAGACAGAATCCAAAAAGGAGACGATGAACAGCCTGGGAGAAGTTCTTTCGTCACGCTCTGGTGTCATTAAAGCTCGGGTACCTACACCACACATTACTACTACTGCTACTACTACTACTACTACTACTGCTACTGCTACTGCTACTACAACTACTACTACTACTACTGCTACTACTACTACTACTGCTGCTACTACTACAACAGTTGGTGTGTGTGACGTCAGTTGGTGTGTGTGTGACGTCAGTTGGTTTGTGTGACGTCAGTTGGAGTGTGTGTCGTCAGTTGGAGTGTGTGACGTCAGTTGGAGTGTGTGACGTCAGTTGGAGTGTGTGACGTCAGTTGGAGTGTGTGACATCAGTTGGTTTGTGTGACGTCAGTTGGAGTGTGTGACGTCAGTTGGAGTGTGTGACGTCAGTTGGAGTGTGTGACGTCAGTTGGAGTGTGTGACGTCAGTTGGTTTGTGTGACGTCAGTTGGTTTGTGTGACGTCAGTTGGTGTTAGTCACGTCAGTTGGTTTGTGTGTGTGTGACGTCAGTTGGTGTGTGTGTGTGATGTCAGTTGGTGTGTGTGACGTCAGTTGGTGAGTGTGTGTGATGTCAGTTGGTGTGTGTGACGTCAGTTGGTTTGTGTGTGTGTGACGTCAGTTGGTGTGTGTGTGTGATGTCAGTTGGTGTGTGTGACGTCAGTTGGTTTGTGTGACGTCAGTTGGTGTGTGTGACGTCAGTTGGAGTGTGTGACGTCAGTTGGAGTGTGTGATGTCAGTTGGAGTGTGTGACGTCAGTTGGAGTGTGTGATGTCAGTTGGAGTGTGTGACGTCAGTTGGAGTGTGTGACGTCAGTTGGAGTGTGTGACGTCAGTTGGAGTGTGTGATGTCAGTTGGAGTGTGTGACGTCAGTTGGAGTGTGTGATGTCAGTTGGTGTGTGTGACGTCAGTTGGTGTGTGTGACGTCAGTTGGAGTGTGTGACGTCAGTTGGTGTGTGTGTCACATCAGTTGGAGTGTGTGACGTCAGTTGGTGTGTGTGACGTCAGTTGGAGTGTGTGACGTCAGTTGGTGTGTGTGACGTCAGTTGGAGTGTGTGACGTCAGTTGGTGTGTGTGTCACATCAGTTGGAGTGTGTGACGTCAGTTGGTGTGTGTGATGTCAGTTGGAGTGTGTGATGTCAGTTGGAGTGTGTGACGTCAGTTGGAGTGTGTGATGTCAGTTGGTGTGTGTGACGTCAGTTGGTGTGTGTGACGTCAGTTGGAGTGTGTGACGTCAGTTGGAGTGTGTGTCACATCAGTTGGTTTGTGTGATGTCAGTTGGTGTGTGTGACGTCAGTTGAAATGTGTGACGTCAGTTGTATATATATAAATAAACAAATAAAAAAACCAAGTTTTATTAGAACAAAAAAACATAAAGTTCCATTATAAACAAATCTAAATACCTATTACAAAAACATAAAACTACTGTTACTACGACAGACGAGCTCCTAACACCAAACACAGACCATTGTTTGGTCTGTGTTTGGTCTGTGTTTGGTTAGCGTCTCCCTCTGCTCTAGCACTAATGTCCCGGGTCCGTCTGGCTCTGGGCTTATTACACACCAGTCCATCATCTAGAGAAAACAAAACAAGCCTTCAAAGGATCACACACAGAGAGACGCAGGCCTGAGAGCGGGCTAGCATCACGGGTTAGCATCACGGGCTAGCATCACAGGCTAGCATCACAGGTTAGCATCACAGGTTAGCATCACGGGCTAGCATCACAGGCTAGCATCACAGGCTAGCATCACAGGTTAGCATCACAGGTTAGCATCACGGGCTAGCATCACAGGCTAGCATCACAAGTTAGCATCACAGGTTAGCATCACGGGCTAGCATCACAGGCTAGCATCACAGGTTAGCATCACAGGTTAGCATCACGGGCTAGCATCACAGGCTAGCATCACAGGTTAGCATCGCAGGCTAGC